AAATATCTATTAAATCTATAGAGTAACAAATACATATTAATTATTACTCAAATTATTATTTCAATCGTTCTTAATGTATCAATCGTCTATATGCAAAGAAAAGTAAAAAACTATGGTTATTATCATTAAATGAAGATATAGCCTAAAGATGCTTTGCGGGATTTACAGCATAACCAGGTTTCATTCATCCGGGCCCCTGGCAGTTGCCCCCTTCTTGTCGGCGGGTCTGCACGTGACCATCCGTGTAGGAGGAGAGGGTTACACACGTGACCACCCGTGGACGAGGTAAGGGTTACACACATGACTTCCTGTAGAACGAGGGAAGGCTTACACCCATGGAAGAGGGGAGGTTTTACACACATGACCTCCTGTAGAACGAGTGAAGGCCTACACCCATGGAAGAGGGGAGGTTTTACACACATGACCTCCTGTAAAACGAAGGAAGATTTACTCACTTGATATCGTTGGAACGAAGGAAGGCTTTTTGTTTTTTTTCATGAAAATCATAGATTCACAAACAACTCATCAAGTTCAGATTTCCTGGCAAGAAGAGGATCCCATAAGGATTGAACAACCGTTACAGTCACCCGAGTTTGATGTGTCTGGATATTCGTTTGGGAGTTTCATGCGTTCCATCGATACAGGTAGAGAAATACCAACTAACAGTCCTAAAACTTCAACTGAAACTCGCGACAGGAATAAAACATAAAGAATAATTTCAAGAAAAATATCACTTAGTCTGTATTTTAGGAATTCAACAACAAAGTGTAATATTGTCCAGAAGTTTGGTGGCACTAGACATGCTTAGGCTTACACATATATTATAATCTGTTAACTTATGTTACCTGACTATGTTCTTAAGTTTCCATAACACGCTGCCACTTTACAAACCTATTTATTAACCTATCAGTTATACCTTCAGATTACTTACCTACCCACGACCTCAGACTTACATAATCTGATATTACTTTATTTACCTACTTATCAGATTTGCATAATCCGTAGGCTTACTTTACTTACACATACGCCCCTAGACGTAAAAAATAATTAAGTTACTTTATCTGCTTTTCCCATCATACATATATAATATAATCACTAACCTAACCTAAACTTACTTACATATCTCTCAGGCTTACGTAATTCTAACTTTAACTACTTAAGTCCTCGGATCTACACAGCCTTTTAACTTGTTTTACTGAACCTCTATATTTAATCCTTTTTAAATAATGATCTTTTTACAGATTTTGAAAGAAATTATCCAAGTAACATATAATCCTCTATCTAATAGCTTCACAGATACTGAGTTGTGTTTTCTTACTAGAATATTTCCACTTGGTTGTCATTTTTATGCCTATATTCTCCGTGGCTAAGCCTAACCATGTTTTTATTCTCTGTGATTAAACCTAGTTAGGCCTTTATTCTCTATGGTTAAGCCTAGTCAGATTTTTATTCTCCGTGGTTAAGCCTAACCATGTTTTTATTCTCTGTGATTAAACCTAGTTAGGTCTTTATTCTCTATGGTTAAGCCTAGTCAAATTTTTATTTTCTGTAGTTAAGCCTAATCAGGTTTTTATTCTAAGTGACTAAGCTTGATTAGGCTTTTATTTCTGTGGTTAAACCTAATCAAGTTTTTATTCTCTGAGGTTAACTCAAATTAGGTTTTCACGGGGGGTATCTGGATGTGTAATCATGAATATTAGGTTTGTTATCTCGAGTTATATTTGTGTGTAATATTTGTTTTATTTCGGAATTATTTTTTAAAATTATTATTATTATTTTACGCTAGTTAAATATAGATATAGACATAAATCAACTGTATCTCAGCACTTCGAAAAACAACGGTCTCTTTTTTTCATTTTCATTTTTTTTTTTTTGAAGGGAGTGGTAAAATTAACAGGAATACCAACGTTAATTAGATTTGGAACCATGACACGAGGCAGGCACGTGATATGTGTGTCACATCGGCAGGCTACTAATAGGATTTGTCTTGTTTTTAACGAAGTCATTACAAAAATTTTAAAAAGCTATATCTGACTTAACCAGAACGCACTCACTAAACCGCTCTTATCCAGTTAAATTCGGGATGTTTTTGTATTTCCTGCAGTTTTTCAGATTTGGAAGTTAAAAACCAGAATGTTTGGAAATTAATAAATTTCTCTTCTCTCTCCGCTCGTAGTAAACTTTTACAGCGAGAGAGATAAAAAACAAACATAGTTAAATGTACAAATGTGATTACTTTCAAATTAGGCAGGCAAAGTTGTCAACAATATCTGACCGTCAAGAGGAAGGCTTGACTCATGTTGACAGTTATGATGATAAAGTACGTTGTTCAAATGTAGGAGGCGGAGATTAATGCATTCTTTACCAAAAATTAGATGTAGGGGGGAAATATTTACAAAAAAATAAAGTTGCTTTTTTAGGGTTAGTAGGAGAGACGTTAAGCTGAAAATTGGCTTCGTGCCTTCACTTGTTGTAATGTGACTTCACTGAGAACATCAGCTTTTATCAACAAAGCTTACACCAATCAGAACTCTGTACAAATGTCAGATGCGTCAGTTTCGAAGCTGGCGGGCAAGTGCAAGGTCGAAAAATGCTTGGAATGCTACTAGTGCAGTAGGTGAGTATGAGATCACGACGGGATCGAGCCTGACACGGCCTGGTGATCAGGGCGTACGACTCGCAATCTGTGGGTCGCGAGTTCGAATTCAATCACTGAATATGCTCGCCATGACATCCGTGGGGCTTTATAAAGTGATGGTCAATCCCACTTTCTGTTGGTTAGAAAGTAGCCTAAACAAATTTCTTAAGTAACTTAGGTTTGTGACATAATATCGATGGGATTGTTGTGGTTGAGTAGCATTGTTTAAGTAACTTAGGTTTGTGACATAATATCAATGGGATTGTTGTGTTTGAGTAGCATTGTTTAAGTAACTTAGGTTTATGACATAATATCGATGGGATTGTTGGGGTTGAGTAGCATTGTTTAAGTAACGTAGGTTTGTGACATAATATCGATGGGATTGTTGTGGTTGAGTAGCATTGTTTAAGTAACTTAGGTTTGTGACATAATATCAATGGGATGGTTGTGGTTGAGTAGCATTGTTTAAGTAACTTAGGTTTGTGATATAATATCAATGGGATTGTTGGGGTTGAGTAGCATTTGTTTTAAGATATTGAATGGTTTAAACGCAGTTCTAATATCAATATTTTAATACCCTTCTGGTATTTTCTGAGATTCAATCATTATACTGAATGACAATTTTTCGTATTTGGTTCAGTTTGTTACCCTTTTGTGGATATTTATACATCGATTTGGATATCCGTTCATTGAAAGATATCTTCAGGTGTTTCCATTCATTGAAAGATATCTTCAGGTGTTTCCATTCATTGAAAGATATCTTCAGGTGTTTCCATTCATTGAAAGATATCTTCAGATGTTTCCGTTCATTGAAAGATAACTTCCGATGTTTCCGTTCATTGAAAGATATCTTCAGATGTTTCCGTTCATTGAAAGATAACTTCCGATGTTTCCGTTCATTGAAAGATAACTTCCGATGTTTCCGTTCATTGAAAGATATCTTCAGATGTTTCCGTTCATTGAAAGATAACTTCTGATGTTTCCGTTCATTGAAAGATAACTTCCGATGTTTCCGTTCATTGAAAGATAACTTCCGATGTTTCCGTTCATTGAAAGATAACTTCCGATGTGTTCTCTCTTCTTTAACTTGATCCGAGAATTTTGCTGGAGGTTAAACTTGGTCGGCTTAAGATAAGACCATTAATTAAATTTAAAC